GGATGAATGCGGTAGCGCATGTTCCTTGACATGTTCCTGTATGCCTTTCCCCCAAAGGAAATGATACCAGTAATTCAAGAAAGAGTGTCTCAGCAGTGCCTCTCAGATTCTAGTGGCCCCTTGGTGACCAGCAAAGCTGTGGTATGCAGAGATAATCAGTGTGTTGGCAGTGACGCCGTCCTCTCTGCAAGACCTCCTCTCTCAGGTCGGAGGGGAGGTGATTCATCCATGCTCAGTACTATGGCAGCTGCATACTTGCCTGTTGAGAGGTCAAACTTGGTAACCAGGTCTTCACCCAAATGTGGCGGCAAAAATTTAGAGTGCTGGGGCTTCATATACTAGAGGCTTGTATGCATACAAACAACAGAACTTTGAGCAATGGAGCCAGAACCGACGCATTCTCCCATTCCAGTGATCTATTGTGGATGTTTTAAAATTCCTGCAGGAACTGCTGGATAAAAGTCTTACCTTTTCTATCATTAAATTTTTTTGACATCTATATGTGCTAATCATAATTGCTTTAATGGGGGTCACGGCAGGTATACAGCGCACCAACTGAATCTTTAAGTCTGTATATATGAAGTTCCTTTCATATAAGACCGCGTTGCTTCTTGCTTTGGGTTCTACAAAGCCAGTGGGTGACATTCATGCTTTGCCTTCTTGCACACAGTTGTCTGTTGGCCTCAGAGTTATACTATGTACGAATGTAACATTTACCTAAGGTTATTCCTGTGGCTTGTAGCTCTGTGAAATTTGAGCTTCTGAGTTTTTGCTTCCTTCCTTTGGCTTCTGAAGAGCAGAGGAGGCTGCTTTTCCTCTGTCTGGTGTGAGTACTGAATATATACATTGACTGCACTCAGAATGTGTGTTTATCTGACCAGTTGATTGCCTGTTTTGCTAATCCAGCCAGTAGTAGAGCTCTGTCTAAACAGAAGCTCTCCCAGTGGATTATGAAGCCTTACTGGCATAACGCTCCAAGAGTCTCTCTTTGCCTCGGGGTGTGAGAGCACATTTTATTTATTATTATTGTATTATTTTAGGTATTTATTCTGTTATGTTGCCCGGTCTTATAATAGAATACACCTTGAGGCAACTGATGATTTGGGGCTAAATAAATAACGCTGAATTGAATATGAGGTAATGAATGAGAATTGGGAAATTCAGGGGCTCTTGTTAAAGGGGTCATTGTGGATGATATTTATGCTGCAGCTAGTTGGTCATCACTGCAAACATGTTCAATTCTATCACTTAGAAGTGATCGCTCATTCATTACCTTATTTTGTCCTTTCTGCTTAGTCTACAATGCACTAGGTCCCACTTAGGTCTGGTGGCTGCTTTCCGGGGCTGTATATATTTCCCACACTATATGTGTTGTAGTAAGTAAAATGACTGAAAAGGAACAAAGTGTGATGTCTGTAACTTCTGTTCCCTCAAGGAGCAGAATGAGGTACACTTTCAGGATACTCCTCTGTGTAGCATAGCTCAGTGAAGGGCAGCTACAAAACTGAGGGATGACTGCGATGACAGGGTTGTG